CACTCTTTCTATGGGGACAGAAGTTGATATTTTCACTGTGCAAGTAAGTCTAGCAATTGGTACCCCAAGGTCTCTCTCCTTCACCTTATCTTCATTTTTCAAGCCCACCAGCAATTTATCTCCTTTTTTGTTCTCAGACATTTTCCCTACCCTCATGCAGCAATTGCCACTTGGTGCATCTTGCAGACTGTGGCCTGCATTCGTGAGACTGTGAGGAGGTCAGAGGATGGGAGTGTGGGCTTTGCCAGGGCAGCGAGGTGGAGCTCTGATGGGGCGTCACTTCTCTCTGTCACAGCTGCTGTCCTACAGCTCTGTGGTAGCAGCAGTCCAGCAGCAGAAGTCTGAGTCAGGTTTCAAGTCAACACAAGAAGAAGGGATTAGTTGTTCAAGCAGTATTCATTGCTCACGCTACTGTTACTTACCTTCGTTGGGTTAAGACCAACTAGTGGTTTCCTATAAATAGCATCCATCCATGTACCATCATTGGAATTATGCTGGATTTGAGCTAGCATAACTTGGAATCTATATCCTCCTGATGAGCATGATTATTAAGGCATAATAGTGTTGAGATTCCCTACAACAAGTATAAAAATGGTGAATGCCACAGAAGTACAAGAACTAGAACAAAAGAAGTAGTGGGAGAGAGAAGTGATGCACTGGGCTTAAGTGCTGTCATGACAGAGAAGAGAGGACACTTGAGAGTTGGGACGAAAAGTATTGGGATGACAGGATGGTGGCAATTTCCAGAATCTTCCACTGAAGCATAGTAGTACAAAGCTTCAGTCTTACTTACTTACCTCCAGAAGCAGTCTGTGTTTCTCCTGGCATGTTGGCAGAGGTATAAGAACTGTGCATAGGCTCCAAGGACGTGTAACCATCTCCAAAAGGTCGTACAGACTGCTCCAGAGTCAACACCTTTCTCCCCAGTTTCATTGTTTGCATAGTTTCTTAACTTGTTTTGGGTAGTATAAACACAGTTAGATGACCATTTGTTTTAATGGAATAAGAAAGAGGAGCAGGCAACATTTTGAGTAGTGGAACTTATTTGTGTCTGTCTTTCGCGGTTTCCTACATCTCACTCATTATCTCAATAATCTCATTTCAGTTCCTTGTGTCCTCTCATTCCTGCCCTGGCTGAATTGTGGTTCTCTGTCCCTTGCTATAATGCTTTCCTTTGTCACAGCTGACTGGATTGACCAGATACCAATCAGAACTGAGCAAATATCCTATTTCCCCTGGCTTTGATGATATTTTCCTCTCCCAAACTACTGTTTTTCTCAAGCAAGTATCTTGCATTACGTCGGTGAAAGAGAAGCCATGTTTTTCCATCTTTCCCTTCTGACGTAGATGTGTCATTCAGCAAACAATCAAGATTTAGTCAAGATTCTGTACTTTGTGAAAGAAGCAAGTGCAGTGTGCTTCATAGGGGAGGTACAAAAGGAGGAAATCAGAAACACAGATGATAGGGCTGGGGTAAGCTGCGCTTCACATAACCTCCAACAGACCGGTTTTTCAAGTGCTGTGACAGGAACGTGGATCTGGTTTCCATTTTTGCTTTTCTGCTGATGATGGCTGAATCCTGTCAACATGGCGTTCACGCTGTGGCTCCATCAGTGATGGCAGTAAGACAGATCCCTCTCCCTTGTCCAATGGTGATTTTCAGGAAACTGCAGGGATGTAACACCTCTGAGGCGTGTACTTCTCTGTCTGGCTTTGCTCAAATTGCTCAGCAAGTTCAGAAGCTGGAGTGGATGGAGAGATTATGTAGATCTGTTTTTCCCAAGAAACTCAACTAAGAAGTACAAAACAAATAAAACCATGTTATTACACACACTTCTCCACTTGAGAAAAGACTAGGAGAACAAACATGGCAAATAGGAGGGCCTACAGGAAAGATAGGGAGGGACTCTTTAACAGGGAGTGTAGTGATAGGACAAGGGGTACGATTTCAAACTGAAAGAAGGTAGATTTAGATAAGATACAAGGAAGAAATTACTTACTGTGAGACTGGTGAGATAGTGGAACAGGTTGCCCAGAGAAGTTGTGGATGCCCTCTCCCTGGGAGTGTTCACAGCCAGGTTGGATGAGGCTTTGAGCAGCTTGCTATAGTGGAAGGTGTACCTTCCTGTGGCAAGGGCATTGTAACTAGATGATCTTTAAGGTCCCTTCCAACCCAAATTATCCAGTCTATTTAGGCAAGTTTAATTTCCCTGAGACTTTGGGGAAGGTATCATTCTAGGTGATATATTATGTATATTATATTATGTATATTATCCTTGTTAAGTACTTTGGTGGCACAACGTGTTCTGATCAGGAAGACAGAAAGGAGCTGTTTTGATGTTGCCCAAGTTTGGAGCCCTGAATAGTAGGAGACTCATTTGCCAGAACACCTTATGTCATGAGTAAGGAGGCCTTGTCCAGAGAGGGTTCAGTAAGATGAATAAATTAGAGGAACTTTGCTTTCCCTAGACTTCCTCTATAATATAGGTGTCTAAACTGCCATGTAAATGGCTCGAATAATGCCCTTTTTATCAGTGACAGTTTCATCAACGTGTGCTGGAAAATTAAATCTGACAGCCGTATAGATTCCTTATTGGCAGATTGATTTTCTCAACAATATAATCTGGATTTCTTTTGACTTCTGCTGACGTGGCATTGACTTTAAAATAGCTTTAGAATTAAAAATCAAAACAAAACAGTTGAATGAGTTTACTCTAATTTTTGTGACGATTTTAAAAATAATTTAAACGCTACCAGAAAACAAAAGTGTATTTTGGTAGCATGTGCAGTGGTTGGATAAAATAAATACAGTTTTAAGTGTCACTGGCTCTTTGTCACAGAATACCAAGAGATTAAATTTCAACTTTACATTAGTGAGAAATCTCAATAGTCCAAATATGGTTTAATATCTGTGGATAGAGTTATGGGAAAGTCTGCTGGTAATTGACACATGCATGGAAGGAGCATGCAATTAAGCACTTTATCTTTTCTTATCTATTACAATAGTCATTTTATATCACATAATGAGGTGAGTCCCCTCACCCTTGAGTCCCCATTCATGTAGGCTAACAGAGCTCGAGCCATTTGTCATAACAACCAATGTTGATGGCACACTGCTTATAACAGAGCATCCATAATTGCTACATCCTGGAGTAGGTTTACATTTTAAAATAAACAAAGGGGCAATAGCTAATAGCTAACTATAACAATCACCCAAAATAATATGGGAACGGTCAACGTTTTGGGGACTAGCAAGAGCAGGGAAACAGTGCCTTAGTATTTCAGTAAAAATAGATTAACTTCAATGGTTTTGCCTGTAAAAATTAAAAGCTGGTATTAAATAACTCGCTTGGTTTTCCTGGGATTTGATACCTAGATGCTGCCTAAAATCTTCGGGAAAGTTTGTCCTTGTATTTAATCTGTGTTACCTTATTTTACAGGGAAGAGAGGCCATAGATGCGTTTGTTTCTGGTGGTTTATCTGTGACTGGCCCCTGGAGCACTCCCCAGCAGGAGTGTGTTTTTGGCCGAGGGGTCTGGACTCGTGATTGGTTCCATATGGTGCCTGGGCCCGCTGCTGGGGCGCTGAGCGGGGTGATGTCATCAGCCACACTCCGGGCAGAAGCACGAGCCGGCCAGATGCTGTGTTTTGGACAAAGCACTGAAAAACTCTCTTCTTTACTAAGCCTGCCTCATAGCCTTAGTTCACAAGTTCTGCACCCTTCTCACAGCAGGAGAGAGATCCCCGTTTGCAAATGCCACACAAGAGATTTCTGTGCTTTTTAAAGACAAGTATGTTGCTAATGTTCAGTAAGGTGTGGGATTTGACAGCAAGCCTGGCTCTGTGGGCTTCAAAGGGGAGATGATTGCTGTCAACCACGTGCAAACATTCCAAAGAAATAGCAGCAAGTAAGGAGAGGCTGACTGGGAGGCCTTGGCATACAAATCTGTGATCTTTCTGCTATTTCTTATTAACCAGCAATCCTATAGCATTCTATTAGTCCCTGTTTATTAAAAGCACTGGAGCATGCTATAGGACTGTTGCTGTTAGTGTCCAGATAGTGTTCAGTGTTGAGCACTCTGGATTGCAAAGTAAAAATACATCAGTATAACTAATTAAATGTGTAGATAAATGTATAACTAAAATAAATTCACATGTTGAAATAAAGCGACTCTCTGTGCTGACACCACAAATTTAGAACATCTGTTAACTCCAAATAATCAA